GGGCGCGTGTGCGTGCGTGCCCAAGATCCCGAGAGGAGAATGGAGGAGAAGGGATTGCGGCATGGCCATCCCCCCTGGGGGGTGATTTCTTGCTTTCTGTCTCTCTGTCTCTCTCTGTCTGTCTCTGTCTGTCTAGCAAGCACATGCGGCCAATAGCAAAAACCTCTTAAAAAAAAAAAAAGTGTGGCTAGGGAAGAATTGGGTCCCCTGTGTCTGTGGCTCTGCTGTTAAAATGAACAAAATGATCACGAAAGGTTACCAATTGACTACCCAGGTGGTGGTGGGTATATGAATAGTCACTGTAGTTCTGTATTTCCTGTATATTTTTAAAACATCGTAATAAAGGGAACCAGCAGTTAGCATAATGGCTATGTCGCTAGACTCCCACGTAGTAAACCGCGGTTCGCGTCCCGGACCTGGTGGCTTGGAACTCACGCTGAGCGCGTGTGCGTGCCCAAGATCCGGGGAAGAGAATGGAGGAGAGGGGATTGCGGCGTGACCATCCCCCCTGGGGGGTGATTTCTCACTTTCTGTCTCTATGTCTCTCTCTGTCTGTCTGGCGAGCGCACGCGCCCTATAGCAAAAACCTCTCAAAAAAAAAAAAACCAAACAAACAAACAAAAAAAAACCAGCGTAATAAAATGTGGGAGAAGAGTCTCCTGCTGGCAAAGGAACTACAGGCAGCTCCTTAAGTGATGCTCTAGCAAAAGCAGCTTTGCTCTTTAGTGAATCCTGACATCACATGCTCGTAGCAACCATAAAGATCTGACCTACTAAGAATCTAAAACTTTTGCTAGGTACGCTTTAAAAGTACCTATTTGGGACCAGCAGATGGCATAGGAGTTACATCATTGGATTCCCACACGGCCAACCAGGGTTTGAATCCCAGACCCAGTGGCTCGACAATCATGCCAGGCCCGTGTGCATATGTGCCCAAGATCCCTGGAGGAGAATAGAGGCCAACAAGGGATTGCAGTGTGGCCCTCCTGGGTGGTAGTGTGTGGAGGGTGATTTCTCACTTTTCTTTTCACTGTCACTGTCTGTCTCCTCCTCACCCTCCTGCCTTGCACCTCAAGCACACGTGCCCTAAGGCAGAAACCTCTATAAATAAATATATAAAGGAACCTATTCAAATTAAGATAAAAGGCACAGAGATGCTAACAATTTTCTCAAAGCCAGAATTCTAGCAAGGCACAGAGTTGAGAGGGGGGAAATAACTGTACAGTTTGGCATCAGAGGTTTATGTTCTTTTCTCCTGTTCTTGCAGTAGGGCACATGCGCTCACCAGGGTGAGAGGGGAAGTGAGAAATCACTCCCCAGGGAGGATGGTCACCCTACAATCTCTTCTCCTCCAGTCTCCTCTTGAGATTTTGGGGACACACACACTCACGCGCATGCACGGCATAATTTGCAAGCCACCAGGTCTGGGACTTGACCGGGAAGTTGGCCATGTGGGACCAAATGCCTTACCCTCCATGCCACCTCCTGGTCCTTTAAAAAAATATATATTATTATTTTACTTGCCAGAAGATGCCTGTGCTCTCCAGAGGGAGACAGAAAGGGAGAAGAAGAAAGCCCTTCTCATGAGGTATGGTCACAGTGCAACCCCTTCTCCTCCATTTCTCCATCCTGTTGGAGTTTGGGGAGGCCATGCACAAGCGCCATGATTTTCAAGCCACCAAGGCTGAAGCTCTAACCACCATGGGCTACGTGGGGTCCAACTTGCCTTAACCACTAGGTAATGGTGCCAGCACTAAATGTTAGCTTGCTTTCTTTTTTTTTTTAGAATTACTTCATTTTATCTATTATTGTTATTGTTTTCATTTGACCACAGAGAGACACAGAATGAAAGGGAAAGTGAGAAAGCAGACTGCAAGGTCTGGACTCAAACCGTGGTCAGCCATGTGGGCGTCCAGTGCCCCAACCACCTCCTGCCCAACATTAGCTTTTTTTTGGGGGGGGGAGGAGGTTTTCCCTATAGGGCACACGCACTCCCCAGAAAGACAGAGAGACAGAAAGCGAGAAATCACCCCCCAAGGGGGATGGCCACGCCGCAATCCCTTCTCCTCCATTCTCTTCTCAGGATCTTGGGCACACACGCACATGTGCCCAGCGTGAGTTTAAGCCACCGGGTCCGGGACGTGAACCACAGTTGACTACATGGGAGTCCAGC